ATAGATAGATAGATAGATAGATAGATACGTACATGCACATCATAGCTGTATACATGCTTCTTGAATCTTGGGACTTTTTCCACTCTTTGGGTGTGGAAAAGGGCGAACCTTTTTTGAGGGTATCAATGGGAATAGATGTATTTGTATATTATATGTCAAATTATTGGATTCACATCTAATGTAAATGTGTGGCGTGTGTAGTATGCTAAGCAAAGGTCCAAACTGGCACACATCTCATGAAGGCAAGTCGTCGCATTTCTTCATGACATCCCACACCGTAAATTTGATGGCAATACCTTTAGTTCCTACAGATGCCCACAGGTATCCGGTTGGCCCCAACGGGACTGTGGCACACCTTCGACAGGCCTTCGACTCTCCCAGCTGGGCTTCTTTGATGCCTCCTCCGCTGCCGGAGGTGGCTATTCTTTACTCTTGCGCCATGACATTAGAAAAAAACTACCGAGACTGCCAAATCAAGCTGATCCTGTTTCAGTGGCTCATTGCAATAGCTGATAGTTGGATCAAAACACTTTGCGGTTGCCCAGGGTGCCCCTTCGCCAGCACCCTTGCTACAAGCGCTGCAGACACTGCAGCTCCTGCAGTTCTCCACTCAGATGGATCTGGAAGATACCCACGCCCAGAAGTAGCCACACTTTGGGTCACTTGCGCTCTTAGAAGGGTTCAACCGACTCCAGATTTTCCTGCTTCATGCTCGCGTTTGCGCGCACACACACAATCACAACAATCGCTTGTGTGCCAATGCCACCTCGTTGTGTTTCATGATTTCTCCTTTGTCTCCTCACTTGTCTCCCTTCATTCTTGTTCCCATTGCATCCTGTCATGATGATTTCCCCTTTGTCTCCCAACTTGTCTCCCTCCTTGCCTGCTTTCTTGTTTTCCCCCCTTTTTTTGTCTCTTCTTCTTGTCTCTTGCTCTCACTGGCACCCTGGCATGAAATGATTTCTTTTCTCCTCGGCTTTTTGCCTTGTGCGATTGAGGGTGACTTTGACCCGTGTAATGGGACATGCTTGTGCTCCCCTGCCCTTCATCTGATGCTCGTTTGAAACTTCATCATGTGGCTTTATTGCCAATGCGTTTTTCCCCAAACAGTGTGGTGGGGTTCTTGCCGTAGGTGCTAAGGCCGGGGTTTGATCGGAGGGGTGCGCATCCGTGACCGGCTAATTCGCAGAATCTGGTGGGCCTGAGCGGGTGCTTTGCGAGCCTGCGCACTCGTTGTGGCGCCGTGCGCATTTTGCGGGCTTGGTGATCACTTTTCGTGGCAGGTGCAAGGGAACATTTGTGTTTTAAGTTTTGGTGGTCCAAAGTCGTGACAGGTGCAGGAGTTTCGCGTGGATGTGCAGATTCCGTGGTGCCCCTACTCAATCACTAATCTGACACCATCCAAAGTTAAAAGAAGTTGTATCCCTTCTTGTCTCCCCGCTGGCAACTTGTCACGACATGACTTCCCCTTTGTCTCCCAACTTGTTGCGCTCCTTGACTTCCTTTTTGTCTCAGCGCTTGTCTCCCTGCTTGTCTCCCAGCAGCAATCTGTCACGGCATCATCTCCTTGTGTCTCCTCACTTCACTTGCCCCCCTCTGGGTCGCATGCCTGGCAACTTGTCGCAACATGACTTCTGCACTTACGACATGACTTTCCCACTTGTCTACTTCTTGTCCCTCTACTCTAGCAACGGTGTCGACCTTTTCATTCACTTGTCTCCCTTGGTTGCAACATGACTTCCCCACTTCGCAACATGATTTTCAGAATGGTCTTCCTTCGGTTCTCACGACTGTTTCTTCACTGGCACCTGTCACGACATTATTTCCTGCTCTCCCCACTGGCAGCCTGCCACGATATAATTTGCGTTTTGTCCTTCTTGTCTCTGGACTGGCAACCTGTCATGATATCACTTCCTTTTTGGCGCCCTCCGCTTTTTGCATCCGCACTCGCATCCTGGGTCGGATTCTTTGATTTTTCTGGTCCATGGTCACTGGATGATCATGATGGCGTGCGCTTGGTGGCTCGGTGAACCTTTGCTTGTCTTCACCTCACACCAGGCAACGGCATGTTTCTGAAGACGCAGTCGTATTGCTCGAAATGCACAAAAGGTATCAAGCAAGTTGCTGAATGCCTTAGAAGAGCCAAGTGGTGACTTCGGAATCACAAGGTCATGTTTCTGAAAAAGCGCGCTTGTATGAATCGAAACGCGCAGGTGCATGTCTGAAAGTACACAAGTATGCAGTATGCTTTGAATTGGCAGAGTTTGACTGTGAAAGTTCAACATCTTGTTTCTGAGAAGGGGCGCTTGTGCTGTTCAGATGAATTTCTGCACAGTGGCATGCCCTTCCAAAAACTGATTTATGCCCATGGAAAGACAGGCACGCTTCTAAAACAAAGGCTCGTGTGCTTAAGGAATTTCTGACTGCACGCAGCGGGATGCTTTGGAAGTGTCAGTGTTGTGCCTTCGGGAGACCACTTCATGTTTGTGAGAATGGGCGCTGCACGCTTGTATTCTTGAACAACACAATTATTTGCGCAGTGGTATGCATCTGAAAAGTCGGAATTGTGACTTTTGAAGTGCAACGTCAGTTTTCTGGAAACATGTGGTCGCATTGATCCAATTGCGTGGATGTATTTTGGAAAATAAGCAACATGTTTTCAAGAAAACATTTAAATGTGCTGCGACACGCAACTTCATGTTCTTGAAAGCACACGCTTGCATTTGTCGAAGTACGCAGATGTACTTCCGAAAATATCAATCTGCTTGTGTTTTGAAAGGTAAAGCCTTGTTCTTGTATTTGTGTATACCATGGCTGTTGAGAGCAAAAGAACCAAACAAATATTGTTTGGGGTCGACGCTGGTGTAATTTACGAGCTCAATGCAACAAATCTTAATGCCATAGAGTTTGCAAAGACATGTGCAAACCTGTGGCAGATGTTGAATTTCCTGTTGTTGGTATCGTTGGTATTGTTGAGTGTTGTGCATCTTCGAGTGAGGCAGCAACAACAACTTCAACAGTTGCAGCTACAATCAGTTCAACAACTTATCTCAGGTGCTTTGATCCGTCAGTAGTTTAAAAATTGTTGAAACAGACTTGGCCATGCAGGGAGCTTGCTCAGTGGCAGCATGTTCGGCATGCCCTTGCCGAAAGCTCAGGGTTGAGTCGCCAGTGAGAAAGAATGCCTTTTCAACATCAGGGCTGGCCAAAACACTGCCGCACGCCCAGCTTTCGCTGCTGCGACTGTTTTCCATGTTCTCAAAAAGGATCAAGAGATTTGCAGTTTTGTCCATTTGTTATTACTTTCTCTCCGTGGGACACTGTAGGACACTGCGCCGCTCTCTCTTTTTTCCAAACTGGTTGCCTTGATATTGGGCACTCCGTTTTTGAGCCATAGATAGCAATAGCCGTTTAGGTGCGTCCTGAAAAGCCTGAGGCTCTTGGTCTCAACAACGAGACTTTGATGAATCTCCTGATGGCCTGGTATTATTCCGGGCGGGCCACCTGGTTTTATTCCTGTTCCAATCTCTTTGTGTCTTCAATCTTGGACGGAGGTATTATACTGGAGAGTATGCTGCAAAGCAAGGCAAGATTTGAATGGGCTCAGACCTCAGATCCGCGCTGTGCCGCTGTGCGGAGATGACCGGTGGTGTGCCGCTTCAACAGACTCCGAGGTGTCGTTACAATGGTGTTGGCCAAAAAAGATCCGGGTCCACCGGGTGGTTTTGGCAGACATGGCTGACAGAGCTCCGTGTCTCTCTTTTTCCCTTCGAAAGGATCCAAATGCTGGCTTTTGTACTTCAGGTGTCGCGCTAGCTCATCCATTCGTTTTTGGCCTTTCCCAAAGCGCATGGACATGCCTCCAGGGTCTTTCTTGCAATTGCTGCTTTGATCTGTTTCTGTTACATGCACTTTTGGCTTCAGTTGTATAATGTATGCGCAAAGAGTTGAATCATCCACACTATCTACTATCTTGGATTGAAGAAACTGGGATGAACAATCCCTTCGCTACAAGTTCAAGACTGCAGATTGCCATTTTCGATTTGCTGCTCTTCCGAAAAAAAGAAAACATATTCTCCTTCTCCAGGGTATGGATTGCAATTCCTCATCTACAAATGAGATGACAACTCTAAGAGATAGTGGTTCATGCTGAGAAACCATGGCCACGGGACAGCTTCTGCCTTGGGCATTGGCTGCTGCACTCTTTGGCGCAGGTTGGTTGCTGCAATTGCTGGCTGAAGTTGATTCCATCCACAGACTGTTCCATGTTGAATGCAGTTAGAGTGAAACTGGCCAGGCCAATGGTGTTTGTTTATCCAAACGAATTTTGTGACCAATCGTGGAATGGCCATGAAGACGCTCAAGTTGAGAGCCTGGGCAGAAGCAAGCTGAGCTTAAGAAAGTGTGAAGTGCAGACCCTTCACTTGCTCTTCAAAAGGATGCGATGTTTGAAACGGATGCGTCCATGGGCTTGGGGATCCGCAGGGCAGACCTTCCTAAGGAGAAAGGGCTTCTGGATGTGCTCGAGCAGCTGGCAGCTCGAGTCTGACGCCGATCGTCACTCACTTTGGTGTCAACACTTTGGCTCTGGAAATTGCTGGTCAAAGACTTCTGATGGATCCGCTTCTGGTTGGCAAGCTGGAAGCTTGAATTGAATAAAAGCTCGGACATTGGGATTCTGAGCTTTCAGAGTGCGTCTTGGTGCTTGTCGCTGCGAGGTCTTTTGGGGCCAGAGCTGGGCTTTTCGTGGAAGCCGACGATATGAGTTCTTGACACCGGAGGATGTCCGGGAGAGCTTTGATGCAATCGTGCACCTTGGCCCCCGCCATGGCTTGTTGCTTTAAGGGCATTGGTCTTTGATGATCACGTGACGAATTCTCTCCTGAGTCTTGTGCAATGGACGGTCAGGATTACACAGAGTTTGGACGACCACTGTCATCGTCCAACCCTTGAAAGAATCGATCGCAGGCCAGAATGCAAATGGAATGAACAATAATGCATGCTTGATTTGGTGAGCGCATGCAAAGCTGCTTTGTCCATCTGTGCCTACGGTGAAGCACAACAAGACATCCTTTGACACTTTCATTTACAGAGTGTCCTTTGGTCTGGAGGATGCCCATCATCACCAACCCCAGTGCAGCCAAAACAGTGCAAAGACTTGGATATCAACCCTCCACGTTGAGGCCTGGAGAGCATCTTGGAGAGCATCCTGATGCTCAGAATGCGATTGCTTCGGCTATTTGTCGCAGTGCTCAGGTCATTGATGCTGGGGCACCTTTGCATCTCTGCCATTCCTGGGAGTGTGGTGGGCCCTCCATGGCAAGACCCAGAGAATGGATATGTGCTCCAGCAAAAAAGTAGGACATGAGTCAGAATCAGCAGTTTTCTATATATACATATTTCAGCAATGCACCATGAATTTCATTTGCATTGGACATAATGCATGAGTTCAATATGGTTAACCTGACTGTCCCAACTCAAGGTCTTCACTGACACCCGTCGTGGCGGTTGGTCAATAGGCTGGATGAGTGATGAAGGGTTTCCAGCATGGAACGCTTGAGCCTTCGACATTGAGTTCTATGGGGGCCAGGCACTGAACCACATGGGAACTTCTTTGGGCCAGCACTTGGAACGAGGGGCCCTCAGCTTTGCACTGTTTGTTCGCAAAGCTGTTTGTTCAATGTGGATGTGATTGGTAAATCGTCGAAACGACGTATCCATCCCCCGAGCAAGTGCTGGGTTGACCAACTGACAGCCATCAAACCCTCAAGTCGAGGTCCTTCAAACGCCTGCCAAGCGCACCCCGTCAGCCCTTGGACGCTCTCATTTTGCCGCTGCGGGCACAGCAGATCTCTGGGTACAGGCAGCAAGAGACTCGCATGTGTGCAGATTGCAACTTCCCATCCAAAAAACTAGAACTACGCAGCATCCAACAGCCACAGTGGTCTTTTGAGACCAAGATTTTGCAGGTTGGTCAATGGTGTGCAGGAAGCCGCAGACACATTGGAAGCTCTGGATCCAGTTCCCCGTTTTCTTTTGCCATTGCCGAATGCAGAGATTGACGCATCAGGCCAATTGCAAAGTAGATCAGCCAGTCCTTTCAAGTCGAGCATTGTGATTCACTGTCGTTGTTTACCGCTCCATTCGGTGGGAGGTGTCGCGTTTGAGGCCTCTTGGCCGAACAGCTCAAGGAGGATGGCTCGGTGGAAAGCTTCCGGGAACAGCAGCGAGAAAGACCGAAGCTGCGTCAAGTGTGCTTGCTGGACAGGGGAAGTGAGAGCAGTGAGAAGTGAGAATGGTATACTTCCATAACTTCTATTTATTGGCGTGAGGGTTGTGGTACCCAATGTTGAACCATGTAGCCAAGTGCTTCTTGCTTTTTGAGCTCTCACTTGCCCACCCGTGTCAGATGAGTCTTGTGAGGACCTGCCACCTGGTCAGCCAGTGCGTTTGGAAGTGGGCGAAAACTAGCCAGATCCGTGGAAATTCTGCTTAAAGGTTGACGAAGCACAGCGGCAGACTCCTTGGAGGTGGAGGACATTGTGGTACATTTGTTTACCTTGCCAGGAATTTGATTGATGAGTTTCAATGGCGGAGGCAAAGAGACCGAGACAGATAGACAGATGGCACCGTCCGTGAATGTGAGGGAGCGTGAGCAGATCGACAGTCGACCACCTGGAGGATTGATTGGATTGATTGACCATCATCTCCGAAAGTCTGGCTTTGTTTGGAACTTCCAATGTGGGAAGACATTCCAAATCTGTTTCTTTGTGGTACATTCCCGATCTTGCAAGCGCATTCTAGCACCGTGCTCTAGGCCCCATTTATTTTAACTCAAGCGCTTGTGGGGTGACCTTGTCATGGCCCACCTGGTCAGGTGGGGTGAGTCTGCTCTTGACCTGCCAGGCTATCAGCAGGACCAGCTAGGACTCTGGTACCTGATCGGCGGGGTTCTCACTGTGACCTTGCTGGTTGGGGTTGGCCTCGGGTGGCGGCTTCACTCGTGGTGGGTATCGTGGAAAGGATTCACCTTTCTGGCTCAGCTCGGTCGGCGCTAGTGCTCCTTGGAAACGGCTAGCGAGAAGCCATTCGCTTCGTTAACAAACGACGGGTGGTTGGACTCTCCTTCGCGTTTTTCTTGAGGAACACGGAAGTGTCGCGACCCACGACTCTTCAGAGAAGCAGAAAGCTTCGATGTTGAGAGACATTGACATCGCATTCATCAATCAACCTGCGTGGCAAGATTGGCAGTTTTCTTTTGTTCAGCATTCCTCTCCGACTTGGTTCATGCGGCTGAGTGCAATTACAGAGTGGAGCAGAGCCAATGCGCAAGAAGAAAAGGAATGCAGGTGCCCGGCCGGTCTCGTCGCCTATAATACTATGATTGTGACCGCGGCGTGTCCAGGGATCGGCAAAATAATGATTGTCCAATCAATGGCTTGAGCCATGGGATCCGCACCTCCTGGGTGGTTGAACAGTTAACGGAGACACTCATCCCCTGTATGATCGAGCAAGTGGCTCAACAGGAAAGTAGGCCACCCCGAAGCTTCCTGGGAAGACTCTACCTGACATCTGGCACTGGCTGGAAACAGCGCTTGCTTCTTTCAGGTTCAAAGGAGCCCTTGCTGTTTGGTTGCCATGATTACCAAGTTGCCTCATTCAGACCAATCTCTTCCCTCGGTGTTGCAAAAGCAGGTTATATATATATATGTATATATAATATATATGGATTTATCAGCAATTCCTTCATGCCACGGCTTCTTCATTGCGGAGATGCTTCAGAGAGGCGGCCGGTGCTGGCAACAACGTTAATAGTGAAATCACAGTTCTAAGCAACATAATGTACACTCTTTATTAGCAAGCCCTCCATTTGAAGAGGATTTTCAATTCAATCGAGGCGGGTTTGTTAATCAAGAGTCTACATTGCTTTGAAGCCTCAGGCGAAGACCGCAATGGCATCCACCGCTCGATGGTTGAGATCACGCCATCACTGCAGGCAGGGTTTGCGAAAAAACACGGATGTGAGGTTTGCTCTACACCCACCACAGTTGGCTCCACTTCCACCAACTATAGATTTGTAAAGCGCACTTCTTTTTTGGTTCATAATGGTTTTCCCATGAATAAGCATGTGCCTGATTGTTTTTTTACCCCGTTGGCTTGCTAGCTTCTACTTGTAGTGGTTGCACCGGAGGCCCGAAGATTTAGGGTTTTGAGTTTGTGTCACCCTTGGTGCTTGAACCACAGGTAGTCCGGGCTTTGAGTTTTCCTGTGTTGGGTGTGAGTTGCAAGGACGGACCTTTGCGCCTTCCAGTGGCTACCCTAAACAACGGTGCTGATCCTTGGGGATCCTTGATCCCCTTTAGCCTTGCCTGCCCTTGGCTCTTAAGTCTTGTGTAGGACCTCTCTTGGGTTTGTCCATGCTCACCCACCACCCAAACACGCTGGTGCTCTTGCCATCGGCGGTGTCCCAGCTCTGATGCGCTCTGATGTCCCCTCGTCCTCAGTCGGCTGTTCCAGCGGGTAGTTTATTGTTTCCCGTTTTTATACAGTGGCATGTGGGACACATGCAAAGAACAACGCAATTTTTTTTGGCTCCTGGGTTCACACGCAAGAAGTCTGTGTACTCATCTATATAGCCTTTCTCATCCCCTCACCATGATGTTGAGTTACTGCAATAGTAGTAGTTTACATGTTCTGACTCTCCATTTTACTCTGCAGCACACAACGCACGAGATTCGTACCAACGGCGCTCA